TCATATTTCAGATCAGTTAGTGTAATTTATTATAAACAGATACTTCAATTCATTGCAGTATTTTTCTTTCTAACTCATTTACTTCTGCAATTATATTTTCTTCTCTTTCCTACTTTCCTTAGAGCATTTTTTCCCCCTTTCTGGAACATTTTTAGTTGAAAGCTTGAGTGCATTAATTTTATCTTGGCATTCCTATGAAGATAAAAGCAAAGACATAAATGGAACCTCCGGGTAGAGTCAAGGCCATTTCTCATAAGTTTTCTTACAAAATGCCTTTTTTCTGCCCAAATGTGGTTTGTACTTTGGATTTCTTCAACACATTTTAAATTAATGAATTTAATTAAAAATGTCACATTAATTTCTAGTGTTATTGCATTATTTTCAAAGAATATGCATTTTAAATATCCTTGTTTTGTGTAATTAATGATATTTTCACTTTATCCTAATACAGTATCTCTCCTTTTATAAATTTGTTAATACAGCAGCAATTTTTTTTTCTGTATTAATATTCTCCTTTGACACTGTGGAGTTTGTGTACCAGAGCAGAAATACAAAAGAAATTGTAGCACATTTTCTTTTCCTGTTCGGTCTATTACCAAAAACATGGGAAAGAGTGTGATGTTTCCTTGACCCCAAAGCAGCTGGAAAACACTTTTACTACTTGTCAGCACCTGGTTGAGGTAGCAAGCATTATCACCAAAGAGATGGTTTCCTGGTCTACCCAGAGAAACTGGGCTCCTGTCAAGTACAGCGACTCTCAGTGTACAGATTCTCAAATGTTTATTTGATCCAGAAAAATCCAAAGACAACTTTAACACAGGATGTCTCCCCATGTTTCACCCTCCAGTTCCTTCTCTCCTCTTTGTAACACGACTTCACTGTACACCGTCACATAGGAACTCTTACCACATCTGGTTGGTTTCAGTCAAACCCATGTTAGGGGGGAAAATACCTACCTCTTCAACATTCCCTTTGATTTCAGTGAGTATTTCTTCTTTATGTTAATAAGTAGAGGCTAATAAAATTGTATCTTATGAGAGATTCTATCTTTGATTATAATTTATATAATACATTACTATAATATCATATCATAATATAAATAAATATTAGTATAATATAGAATCAAAGTTCTGGTGGCCTAGTGGCAAGAACCTGCACTACAATCTCAAATGCACACTGTTTGAGGCCACCAGCTGCTCTGTGGGAGAAGAATGGACAATCTCCTCTCATATGATTAACTGCCACTGAAAACCCGCCAGAGGGTCAGCTATGGGTCAGTTCCAACTTGAAGGTACATAGCAATAATAGAGAATAATAGTAATAATAGAGTAAGATATTAATTGTTGTTAGTGCCATCAAGTTGCCTGCAACTCATAGCAATCCTATGTATAACAGCCTTAAATCCTGCTCTATCTTGTGCCAATCTTACTGTCTCTGACACACCTATATCCATTTACTCAGTGAACTGAATCAATCCCTCTCATCTGGGATCTTCCTCTTCTACGTTGCCCCTCCACCCTCTCAAGTGTGATGTCCCTCTCCAAGGACAGGTCCCTCCTTGCAACATGTCCAAAGTATGTCAAATGAAGCTTCAGAATCCTTACCTCCAAGGAGCCCTAGCAGAGTCCATGGTATATTCAATATACTTTTATTTCATGTATTTTAACCTGTAAAGATTATTTCCATGTGGTTTTTGTTTTCCACTTGAGAATGTTTTACTTGGTTTTTCTATTCCTTAAGAAAGAGACCTCTGTGTGAAACAGTTGTTTCTAAACAACTTGGCTAAACTGGAAGGAATTATTGAAATCTGCTTTAGTAGGTTCCTGTTTCAAATTTGAATCCATATTTTGAGGCCTTTTCCTGAAAATATGTAGGAAGGTTCTATTTTTTTGTTTGAAGGATGACCTCTTTGAAAAGATTCAAAATTCACATTTGGAGGGAAGAACAGAAACTAAAGCATGGATCCAAAAGGCATACGGACACAAACTTGGACAATAATAGTCAAGGAAATCTTAAGAAAAAATTACAAAGAGGGGAAAACCAGACACTCTAAGTCAGACTGTAAAATGACAGTAATCAAGATGGTATAGTATTTGACATAAACTGATAAATAAAAGACAGTGTAATATTTGTGCAGGTGTCAACTCTTTGCCTTCAAGATGGAATGAACCCATAGCTGATTCTCCTGTGGGGCTTTGGAGGCTGTAAGTCACATGAGAGGAGAATCCCAATCTTTAATCAAGTGAAGACATTGGAAGTTGACGGAAATACAAATATAGATCAAAACACATTTTTGTGACTACTACATGCTTGTTGAACAATGGAGTCTCAAAAATTTTTGTAAATGAATGATGTTTTAGTCTATGGATTCCAAATTAGTGGACTTTGAATGTTAGCCCATGTCTAGCGCGATACATAATTTTACAAGTAATGTTTGTTGCTGTTGTTATGTGCTGTTGATTCAGCATCAACCCAAAGTAACCCTATGAACAAAATCTCTGAACCTTGGCCTAGCCTGTGCCAAACGTAGCTGACACCATTGCCACAGTCACTGTGTCAATCCACCTCTTTTAGGGTCTTCCTCTTCTAGACAGATCCACTAACACTTCCAAGCTTAATGCACTTATCCAAAGACTGGTCCCTCCTGGCAACATGCCCAAAATATGTGACATGGAGCTTCAAAATCCTTGCCTCCAAGGAGCAAACTACTTTCATCCTCTAGGGGACAGAACTATTAGTACTCTTGGTAGTCTATGGTACATTCAATACTCTCCTCCAGCACCACAACTCAAAGGCATCAATTCTTCTATCCTCTTTATTAAGAGTCCAGCTCTCAGATTCATAGGAAGCAATTGAGAAGACCATAGCCTGGATCAAGCACACCTAGACTCTGGACTGACACCACTTCTCGTTAGCACTTTGGACAGATCCCTGACAGCAGATTTCCCCAGTGCAACTTGACTTTTAGATGTTGTTGTTGTTGTTGTTATGTGCCGTCGAGTCGCCTGCGACTCATAACGACCCTATAGTCAAACAAAAATTTTAAAAAATAAAAAAAATTAAAAAAAAAACAAGATTAAAGCTTTCAAAGATAATAACAAAGGTTACTAACCTTCACATAATAAGGTTTTGAAAGATAAAAGTATTATAAACAGGAACAAAATATAAAGCAAAAGTTTTTTTAAAAATGAACTACTTCAAAATTAAGACCTTTCTGCCATCAAAACCATCATTGAATAAATGAAAATACTCAGAGGAGGAGGTATATAGACCATATTTAACAAAATCTTATATCCAGAAGGGGGACCTGACAAGATGAGATCACAGTGGGCACAGATCAGTGGTGATTCCATTGGGCTTCTGAGATTATAAACTGAACTGGAAGATATCCTTCATCTGTCTCCTGAAGAATAGCTGGTGAATTCGAACTGCCTGTCTTTGGGTATGAGTACAATTCCTTACTTACCAGGACACTTATTTACATGGTATGTTTTTTACATGTCATTTTATAAAACATGATATATTGGAATGATAATATGAACTACAATGTGCACAAAATAATAAACACAATGTCTTAAAGGAAACACAATGTATATGAACTTTGTGTACAAACCAATATAAAATAATCTTTTAAAATAATTCATAATTTTAATAAAGATGTTTTCAGTATTTCTTTTTTAATAATGCTTTTTTATTTCATATCTGAGACTATTTGCCTATGCTAAAATCACCAATTTTCTTTTATATTTCTGTGTTTCATTGCTCAGATTTCTCCTCATCCTATATTGAAAGTAGATAGGTACAACATGTGAAAAATCCCACAAATTCATAATTTAAAATTGATATGTAATGAAACAAAATTCTAGGCAATCTTGAAGGTAGGCATCCAAATACCTCAAGTTAATCCAATATAATTGTTCTCTGAAATTGATGCTGTTTTCCTCTTGATTTTTGAAACGGAATGTGGTCAAATTGGTACTTAAGAAGTAATTTTCTGAAGGGTGCAACAATGAATGAATGGAATTCCAAAATCTCTGTAGATGTTCATTGAAATGAAAAATAAATAAATTAAAATATGTTTTTAAAAAAGAAGTCATTTTCTTTCTGTATGTCTTAAATATCTCTTAAAAGTTTCTGTAACATTAAATTGTTATGAGCATTTAAAAGCCAAAAGTAGGAGATCTATATTTAAAAAAAAAAACAAAACCGAAACAAACAAACAAACAAAAAAAAACACGCCAAAACCAACCCTCGAACTCACTTCTGTGGAGTGTGAATCAACTTCTAGCTGATATTCCACTGGGCTTCTGAGATTATAAACTGAACTGGAAGATATTCTTCATCTGTCTCCTGAGGAGCAGCTGGGGAATTTTAACTTTCTGTCTTTGGGTACGAGTACAATGCCTTACCCACCAGGACACTTCTTTACATGGCATGTTTTCTTCATAGAGGATGAATCATTCAACTCCTCCATAGAGATTACATGAGATATAACAATCAAGATAAGGCAAATTCTGTTATATTTAACAAATAGACTACGAAAATCTCAATAGCTCAAATAAACATTTATTGCTCACATGAAAGCTAGAGGCAGGTGACTCTCTACCACTGGTGGATTTATAGATACAGGTGAAATCCTATACTTCAATTCCATCATCTCAAAATTCATCCCTTTAAACTGGGTAGAAAGGTAGGAAGGAGCATGAAGTATGACCACTTGTTTTTACTTTATACCTGTTTTAGACACGAAGTCAGACATATGTTGACTAACCTATCAGGACTTGGTCATATATTTACCTCCTCACTCTGGGTGCACAAAGACACTTCCTCAGTAATCTAAGGCCCAAGTAGACACAAATGAAATAGAACAGCAGGCTTTAATAACAACTGTTTTGATTGCTGTAGAAAACAAAAGATACTTTCTCTAAATTTGAGGCTGGGCCCTTCACTCAAACATCCCTAACACATGGGGTATTGGTATCCTTCAGGTCATCACTTACGTTATTTTTCTGCAAAACTCGCAGTGCCTTGTTGACATTGTTCAGAGCATGAACCCTTGTGGATCCTTTTTCTTTTGGCTGCAAACAAAATGAAAAGGTGTTTACTGCACAGTGGTGGTGAGACCAGCCATCTATTTTGAGAAATGAAGCTATGTATACATTTCACTTCCGAGCTTAAATATTTTAAAAGAACACAGACTATGAAGCATTCATATAATAAAGTCAAGGGCCTTGGGCCAATTGTATTTAACATTGTACTTTCTTAGCACAAAACAACTCCTCAGGAATCACAACAGCATTTCTGATCTATTTAAGGACTATTCTCAGTAGGATGAATGCTTCATTCTATTACCTGTTTTGATATTACTGCTTAGACAGGCAGGGAAAGAGACATTCATATCCTTAAAATAACTAAATACACAGGCTGGTGAAATAGATAAGGGAGCTAAGTTGAAGTCTTTTAGGCAAGTTTAAAAGAGTTTAACGCTTAGCTAAATGATAGAATGCAAAATTGAGTTAAAGGAAGCAATTTCTGTGAATGATACCTTCATTGTCCCTGTCAGTGAGGTTCCAATAATGACCAGTTCAAAAGCCCTAATATTGTTTGTATTTTTTTAATTTAATTTAATAAAAGTTTACAGAAAACTTGGATTTCCATTCATTCATTGTTGCAAAGTTTCCTCTCTAACCACCCCCTGCCCCAGTTCACTTCTCTCTCTCTAAAATAGGAATAGAAATAGAGAAATAGAGATACAAATACATTTGTTCATTATTGCCCAATTGCTCGCCACCCCATCCCAGTCCACTTTGCTATGCTGTTGTTGAACAAATGTTATACAAATGTTGCCTAAACATGTATTCCTTTTAAACAGTTCTTTCACTCATCTGCTTTAAACTATCATTTAAACTACCATTTTCTGAGTTCATTCCATAAACGAAACTCTGTGATTTATGTATGGAATTCCAGAATTTTTACTACTAGGATGGCTGCTTCATCCATAACCTCTTTTTGTAATTTATTTGGCCCTTTCATTGAGCAAACCAAAACCCACTGCTAAGGAAGGAGCCCATTATGTTTCCGAGGCTATGTTTTAATGAGAGTAGATGGCTCAACTTTTCCTGGCAGGGTGGCTGGTGGACTCAAACCACAGACCTTTGGGTTAGCATGCTTCAAGGGCTCTTATTGCTATAACTATGGTTCCTCACAACCTTAAGGCTAAGCTGACAAATCAACTCGACTCATTGCCATTCAGTCAGTACCAACTTATAACTGACCCTCCGATGGCTTTTCAGAGGCTGTAAATTGTACAGGCGAGGCTTCTCCATCTTTCTCCTGCAAAGAAACTGATGTATTCAAACCACATGCCTCTGGGTTGGCCACACAGTCCCTAACCACTAGGCCACCAGCGCTCCCTAAACTTATAAACAGGACTTTCGATTGTTCAGCTCCTAGAAATTTTCCTTCCTTCCAACAACTCCACAATGAGAAAGGTTTCCCTTTTGCTATGTCCCGCACTTTCAACCACACAGAGGAACAAATTCAGTTCATGTACTGGTCATTGAAAAGAAAAATAGCAGGAGAATATTCCTGTTGTGTTGGTACGACGTCAGAGATAATAGGTTCAGTGAAAACTTGAGGAATTTAAAGTTTGGGAGCCAATCATGCCAATCACCCTTCTTTGTAATATTTTTTAAACCCCAATAAACTCATTGTTAACCACTTGCAATTAACTCACAGCTGTAACTCTAGTGGATTTCCAAGGCTATAAATCACACAGGAGGAGATGCTCCACCTTTCTTCCATGGAGTGACTATTGGTTTTGAGTTGCCATAGAGGTATAGTTTTTAGGTTAATAGTATAATTCCTTATAGACTACACTACCACTTGTTGTTATGTGCAATCAAGTCACCTGTGACTCATAGTGACCCTATGTACATTTTCTCTGAACCTTGTCCTATGCTGAGCCAATCTCATCGTCTCCAACAAACTTAATCCCATTTCTCCAGTCACTGAGTCAATCATCTCATCCGGGTTCTTCCTCTCCTGTGCTGTCCCCTCCACCCTTCTGAGAATGATGTCCTTCTCCAATGACTGGTTCCTCCTGGCCATGTGCCCAAGGTATGTTAGATGAAGCTTCAAAATCCTTGCTTTCAGGGAAAATCTTGGTTTCACCCTCCCTAGGACAGACTTGTTTGTTCTCCTGGCCGTCCATGGTATGTTCAATGCTCTTCTCCAGTACCAAAACTAAAAGGAATTGCTCCTTCATGTAACAATGATTCATTACACTCCCAGAGCACCTTAATATTTCCTCAGAAGTCTCATATTACTGTCCAATGAGTTGCACAATTATTGCAGTGATATTTTATAGGCACGTGCCCGAGCTTCAAAAACATTCAAGTGCACTGATGCCTGTATATGTTTATCAAGAGCAAAGTCCTTCTACTCTTCAGAGTAGCTGCAGTTCCTGCTCTGAATATGAAAGCTCAGACGTGCCCCAATTAAAGTCCCTATGGAGTGTGTTTTCAACTTGATAGATATAAGGATAATAATTTCCTGTTAACCTTGGGGATGCCCTAAGGCTGTAATCTAAGAGCTGATGATTCCAAATGGAATTTTAAGATTTCTCTTCAGTGAGATCTAAACCTCCTATTGGAGGCACAGGACAGTGGCTGCAGAAACTCTCAAGATTAAAGGAGAGCCTCTGGACTTGGGAGCTTCCCTGTGGGAGGTGACTTGGCTTTGTGATAAAGAAGAGGTCCCTGAGACCGGGCTGACAGATTGGTGAGGCGGCCAAGAAATGGATCATAGGTTCTCTCAAGAACAATACTTAAAATTACGTAGCATGGATTTGCTTCACTAAATGTTAGCTGTTTTCTCCTTCAGCTTCACCTCATAATGGCCAATGTCATGGATATTTTATTCACCGTTTTATCTTCACTTCAAAGTGTATGACATATTAAGTTTGTTTTATCTACCCATAAATATCTCGAGTGCTTTCTTCTTTTTTGTTTGCTTGTCTTTTTCTGTGATTCAGTACTAGAAACCTTTAACCAAGAGGAATTGATTAGCTCTACATGATAGCATTTTTTGGGTTTTTGTTTTTGTCTTTTTAAAGCAGTGGTCACAGAGATTAAGAACAATTGAAGAGACCAAGGTCTTGCATTCTGGACCAGAATGGAAGATCAAACAAATAGGAATTTTCATAAATCCTTAGAAGATACTATAACTCTTGCATTTGGTAATTAAAAAATAGAACTGATAACAGAACGCCAAAGAGAAGAGGAGCATATAACTTGTAGGTAGGTGTGCGGAGGGAAGGGTGTGTGCAAGGAGTGGGGAGAGAGGGAGAAGAAGGAAGAGATGGAGGAAGGGATGGAGCAGGGGGAGAGAGAGGAGGAAGAGAAGAGGGTAGGGATGGATGGGGGAAAGAGTAAGCACAATCACTCACATGTGCATGAACATTTGTATATATGATCATATATTCATAGGATACAGGTAATTATGCACAACCGTATCTTTAACATGGGAAATAAAGTCTCAATATATGACTAACCATAAGTTAATTAAAAGACAAAAGTTGAGCTCTGAGTCAATCAAGCTGAATTCTTTTATTTACAGAGGTGATTCTTTCCATCAATCAGCAGGGTTGCTTGGTTGTCTGTTTTGCTTTTTTTTTTTTTTTCAAATATCAATACAAGGTCAGACTTCTTGAAAATGTACTAGGTCTGAGTTTAATAATATGTTAATCCCATATAGTCCTCCTTAGAGGATTCCACAAGAAAGGAATTAAGTGCGAGGGCCGGCTTTGTATAAGAAAACAGAAATCCTGAACTATATAAGAAAGGAGAGAAGTAAGCAGAGAGACTTGGGAAAGGTTTCGTGGAGAAAGACCAAGGTATCTAAAGGGAAGTAACAAGAGAAAGAAGTTCAGAAAGAACCGTAATTGAAAGCACCAAGCCCACTGCCTCGAGTTGATCCTTATCCCTAGAGATCGCTAAGGACAGAGTAGAGCTAACCACATGGAAATCTTTCTGGAAGCACACTGCCAATCTCTCTTAGCCCAGCAGGTGGCCTCAAACCACTGAAGTTCTCATTAGCAGCTAAATGTCTTAACTAATTGCTGTGGAGTACCTTGAATCAGAGCTGACCCATAGATGACCCTCCAGGGGCTTTTCAGAGACAGGAAAATGTGCAGGAAGAAAAACTCCCCCTCTTTCTTCCTGTGAGGCAGCTGGTGGATTTGAACTGAGAATTCAGGATGGCAGCACAGTTCCTTTACCATTCTAAATGACAGAGTGCAACTGCCCACACGGGGTGGCCAAGGCTATGCATCTTTATTAAGGCAGACTGTCCTATCTTTTTACCTTGGATCAGCTGGTGGATTCAAACCATTGACTTTTGGATCAGTAGCCAAATGTCTTACTTAGAAGCAAGTAAAATATCATTATGCCAGGTGAGCTAATCCAGTCCCATGAGGACAAATACTGTATAAACCATTACTGTAGAAATAAATAAGCAGTAAAGCGTGTATGAGGATCTGAGGGGAAAGGGGGGAGTAAAAGGGTGAGGATGGGTGGGGGGAGTTAATCATAGAGTTGCACAGTTTGATAGTTGGAAGGAGGGGTGGGTTAAGGAAATGGGAAAGATCCAGTGTGAAATACAATGTCTACGAACTTTGTAAGCAAACCAGTACAAGATAAAAATTTCTATTAAAAAAAATGAAAGGAAAAATCTGAGATCTATCTCATAGGATATGCAGAGACTCATTTGCTATCTGAGGGTTTGCATAAAAGAATTTTAGGAGGTATAATGTAGGGATATAACTTTCAGCAACTTGGAATGCCAGCTGTGCTCTGGTTACTGTTAACTGCCATCAAGTTGCTTTGAACTCACAGGAAACCCATGGGACAGTGTAGAACTGCCCCCTTGGCTATAATCTTTTAAAAGTAGATCCGCAGGGTTTTTCTCCCGAGGGAGCTGCTGTGAGGGCACTCTAGTACCACAGCCCATAGGGACTGGTGATGAGAAGGCAAAGGCTACGCCACTGGCAGTTCAAACCCACGGGTCTCCAAAGGAGGCAAGATGGCCACGTTCCTCCCATGTGATTTGCAACCTCACAAACCCAATGGAGGGTCAGCTGTGAATTGGTTCCCTCTCAATAGCAATGAGAGGAAGAGAGAGCAAGCGCACAGGAGCTGGTGGGGTCAAGTCTCTGACTTGTGGTTGGTGGTATGCTTAACTGTTGTGCGCCCAGGGCTCATTATGCTGGCTCACTATGCTAGCTAGCATGATATCTTATTTTAGTGAGCTCTGGTGGCCTAGTGGCAAGAAGCTGCATCGCAATGCCAAAGGCACGCGGTTCGAGGGCACCAGCGGCTCCACGGGAGAGGAAAGGGCAAGCTCCTCCTGAGCGATTCACTGCCTCTGAAGAGCCACCGGAGTGTCAGCTATAGGTCAGTTCCAACAACGACAACAACATAAATAATACAATTGTTCTGGGTTTATCTTTCAATATCTCTAACTCTAACGTGTGTGTGTGTGTGTGTGTGTGTGTGTGTGTTGGGACATTGCAATGAGGGACCAGGATAAGAAATTTACTTTGGCAATATTTGCTTCCTTTGAAGGGATCTGTTACTGTGGAAAGCAAGAGGATCCCTCTCAAAACAAATAATAATCTCAGACAAGATGATCCCAGTTCAGAGATCTGCCTGAATCTTTGAGCTTTTTTTCCTATTACGAGGCCTCAGTCAAGAAAGCTCAGATTTGTCCAGGATGTTATTGATCCCCAACTGTATAATAATCGTAGCCATCTCACAGGCACACTCTGAGGTCATGAGGGACAATAATCCTCCAAGGAGAGTCGCTCACTCCTCACCTGTGCCATTGTGTGCCGCCCAGCCCGCTTACGTCATATCCTGCCACCCACACGATTTTATTGTGCAGTAATTGCAAGGTACACAAAAGCATAAATGCAAGATTTTTTAAAAGTCATTATGCATAAACACGCTTCAAAGATGATAATAAACAAGAAAGATAATGGATATTACAAGCAAATAATACTCTTTAATTAACAAAATATGATACTCTGAACGTTCAGCCTGTGACGAATCCTGTCAACATGAAAATAATACTGTGAAGTTGTCTGATGGTGGAACAGATCTTGTATTGCCATTAAAGCATTGATGCGAAAATTCCTGATGCTAACTCTCTCACCTAAAACTTGACTGAACTGGTTTCTGACTCAATGTGCGGTTTGGGCAAGAGGGAAATCACGTACCAGTTTTTGCCCTGTCAGGCCTTCGAGGAGGTCTAGGAGGCGTCTCCCATCCTGCAAGTCACTGAAGAGGTTCTCGATGTGCTGCTTCCCAAACTGAAACACAAAACACACTCAAGTTACATACGACGAGGTTCTGACTATCCCTCTCCGCAATGAGATATAGAACCTCTCAGCAACACATCTTCCAAACTGCAGATGTGTTGCCGAGAGGGGCTAGTCCTGAAAAGGGATATCATTCTCGGTAAAGCAGAGCATCAGTGAAGAGGGGGGGAGGACTCTCTGTGAGATGAACGGAGACAGTGGCTACAGCAATGGGCGTGGATGTAGGAACGATTCTGAAGATGGTACAGGGCCAGGCAATAATTCACAGTGTCCTTATGTACAACAAAACAAAGCCCTGCTCAATTCTGTACCATCCTCACCATCACTTTTACGCTTACTAGTGTTGTCATTTCTACTACGTCAATCCATCTTGTTGAGTAGACGTCTTTCTCTTGAGCACTGGCTCTCCACCTTTCCCACCACGATGTCCTTCTCTAGGACCTGTCTTTTCTGACAACATGCCCAGAATATATGAGATGAAGTCTCATCAGCCTTGCTTCTAAGAATCATTTCGCCTGCACTGCTTCCAAAACAGATTTCTTCTTTTGGCAATCCTGGATACACACAATATTCTTCACTGACTACTTAATTCCAAGGTATCAATTGGTCTTCAATTTTTCTGTTATACATTAAGCTCAAAAAACTCATTGCTGTTAAGCTGGAACCAACTGCTAGTTGAGATTCTATTCCATTTTCAAGGCTGAAAATTGCATGGGAGGAGACTGCTCCTTCTCCTCCAGAATTGCTGGTGGATTTGAACCATTAGAAACGTGTGGCCGTTGGGTTAACAGCACAACTCTTTCTGTAAGAGGCCACCAGAGAGTCCCTATTCTGCATAGGATCTCTAAGAACTAACTTGTTTGCATCTAACATTACAGCAAATAACAGAAATGTGGAGGCAGATTCAAGAAGAGGAATATAAACTGGGAACACTAAGTCTGTTGGGGTACAGTATACATAAAGCATGAAGCCCAAGCCTATCTGGATCACAGAGCATCAAGGATACTGGATCAATCCAGTATACATTTAGACTTCAGGCAAGGAGTCTAGACAAGGAAATCAAGGGTCTTGATTTGGACCAAACTTATTTGCACAGGCCAACAGGTTCTTTAATAGTTCTCCCTTTAAAATTAGAACCAATCAAAATGGGGAGTATGTAAGAGAGAGCTCTAGACGCCCCTGAGTGGGGACACGTATGAAGAGGACACAGTAAGGTGACAAAATAGAGACAGTTCCTGGTGGTCTATATCATTTCCAAAGTCATAGTCCTTAATAGATTAAAATACTACCAATGAAATTCACCTTATATTTTTAAATATTTGCCTTGTTCCTTAGGAGAGTAGTTCACAGAATATTCCAGCAAAAAATACTTCTGGGAGGAGAAATTGAGTACATTGGCCCCATAGTTTTGTCACATGGTCTGCGGGTTCCAATTTTCTGATAATCTGTTTTGTGGTAAAACTTGAGGAATAATTTTCCTTTATGTCTTAATGTATATATTTCTTGTAACACTAAAACATATTAGTTTATATGAGGGCGTACGCCAGGGATGCATCCTATCTCCATACCTTTTCAACCTATATGCAGAACAGATTATCCAGGAGGCTGGGCTCTATGAGGAGAAATGT